CATTCAGAGATTCTCCATTACCTCACAGTTTAACGTTAATTTTCGTGCTAATATTATAAAATATTGTGCCAAAAATATAAGATAACAGAGAATTCATGAAGAGTTTTCTTTTTGAAAAAGTCTCCTTAATATAATAAAAATGTTAAGGAAACTTTTCTAGAAGTGAGATTTTCCATAACTCTTTGTCATTTCATATTTTTTACACAATGTTTATAATTATTGACCCAAAAATTGACGTTAAATTTTAAAATGACAGATAATCCACAGAACATCTCAAAGAATCTTCTTTAACATTTTTCTATCACGATTAATGCATGTTCTTGGGATTAATCCAAGGAAGGAGGAGCTTCAAATCACATGCGGCCACCTGTCTCATCCGGGACAGAAAACCTTAAGCATCATGACGTGCCCGCCATCTCCATCCATGTTTAATTAATTATTTCAAAGATGAAAATCTGACTCCACAAATTTGAATGACAACGCTTTCCATTTATTCAGCACTCACTTTGATCTATTTTTGGGATTTGGATCCATCCGGATCCAAATTGTGGGATCCTAGAAATTCTCACATTCAAACCGTTTATCGTATATCATATAGTCAGAAATTATTTTAAATTTTTTATTTAAGATTAAACACAAATAGTACCTAATAAAAACTGATCACATGATATACGATAAACGGGTAATAATATGAAGATCCATATGATCCCCACAAAGAGGATTCGAAAATGATCCTCATCCTATTTTGTGAATCAACACAACACAAAGCATGCTTTGTTGTTACATCAGAGAAATTCAAACCTGGATCTTTCATAATCTTGATTTAGGGGTGTGATATCCACACATCCCTTTTTACTTCTCTCACATCTTTTTTATTTTCGGCGGTCGGATCGGATGAATTGAAGAAGATCAACGAACAGAAATTAACAAGGGGTGTGTGTGAGAAGTAAAAAAGAGTGTGTGGATAGCACACCCCTTGATTTATTATCTCAACCTCCTTCGTTGTTTGGGTTAACCCAAGGCTTTTGGGTTCATATCTTGTGCAGTATTGCAGGATGAAAATAAGAAATAATAAGGTAGAATGAGTCTAAATGAAAAGTCTAAAAAAATAGTAAAATGAGAAGATCAAAATAAAAAAATTGTTAGCATTCCCGTTGCCATAATATATAATAATTTTTGTATGATCTGTGAAATTTACCAACACAAATAGAAGGTCAATGCAAAAGCACTTTCTAATTGCCTTCTCCGATCCCTTTTTCTAATTGCCTTGTTCGAGCAAATTGAAGCATTCAAAAAGATGGAACCAATAAAATAACAAGAGTTACACATGAACCTGGTTTTTTAATTCTCACCATTCTTTTTGTATTAATAAAACACCATCCATGCATGTTCATGGGATTAATACGGGGAAGGAGGAGGAGGAGGAGGATGGTCAAATCACATGATGCCACCTGTCTCACCTGGGACAGAAAACCTTAAACAGCATAACGTACCCGCCATCTCCCATCCATTATTTCTCAAATATGACGATCTGACTCCATCATAATGCTTATCATTAATCAGCAGTTATATTTTGAGTAATGCTAGTGCGGTTAAATTTATATACTAAATTTTATAAATTAAATTTGGTGTTCATCGACACCTAGATTCGATCAATTCTGCAGAAGGTTCTTCTCTGACTTACATGCTATCCTGGAGGAGCTCTCTTATAAATACCATTCCCTTCCCTAATTGCTTCTGCAACTATGTCAATTACCTCACTTAAACATCTAGCCTTCACTTGCATGAATCATTTCGCGGAGTCTTGGTTTCTTCTGGCCAAAGAAATCAATCATACGCTGCTGTTTGCAGTAATACGGATGGCTCAAGAGTAACGCACATACTACATGACAAAGAACTTGAACCGCTGCCATCCTTCGCCTACCACATCCTCTGTCCAGTTTTTTTCCTCATGATCTGCTCCAACACATTTGCCATTAAACAGTCTGCCAGTAGAATACAACTGCACAAGAACAGCCAAAAACCGCGTGTGAGGATCCAATTTAACATACATCGTAATTTCATTTAAGACAACACTACAATCATGTACATTTGTCAGCTTCAACACAAAGGTATAAACTTTTTTGTGATTGTGTGTGCACTTGTATTTTCATCTTATAGTAACCAGACCAAGATGGGAGACTGCTGGTTCAGCTACAATTACAAGCAGAAAGTTTACTATCTGTAGCTATAAACTACACACTTGAAATTTAAGACTTCAAAAACCACAGATTATTTGGGTAGCAGTGACAGATTCCTATCCCAGTGAAGAGAATACAGTGCCATTAACATCGACATTTCTATGATATAATTCATACAGACCTACTACCATTCCCAATGATACGAATACACAAGAGGCGAGGTCAGAGATGGCACATTCGACACAATAAACCCTAATGAAATGAGCATTACTTTTTTTCACTCTACACTGAATTCCAATTCCATGCTGTTGTAATGTGTATATCTTGATCTTAGCCAAAAAGCCCAGAAAGGTATGTTGCAATGTATCTATCATAAAGAAGTTTCATGGTCACATAATGGAGCTATATCTTCATCAACCTGAATTTTACTTGAAATCGGCCAATAAACAAGTTTTTCAAGAAGCCATTTGGAACCAAAAACTCATTGTTAATAACACAACCAAAAATTAATGCGGTTAAGCCTCATAGCTCTAATTTCAACCGTGATTACAAAGCAAAAAAAGACATGAACTCACAACAAGTAATAGACATGAACTCAGAAATAATATTCCAATCCCTCATTTCTTCTGCAACTTTATTAAGTGCTTCCCTTCAACATTAAGCCCTCTCTTGCATAAATCATCATGTGGTCTTGTGGAGCCGTAGTTCACTTACTTCTGACCAAAGCAATCATACACTGACACCTTCATGCCGTTTACATATATGAATGGCTCAAGAATCAAAGAATTCGAAACACTATCATTCTTTGCCTACCAAAAATGCCATCCAGTTCTTTTTCGGTTTTTCCTCATGATCTGCCCCAACGCGTTTACCATAAAACATTTGTGTAATACAACTAAATATATAACGACGCTAAAAGTCTCTTTAAATAATATGTTTGTAAAACATCATTAGAATTTAGAACAACCAAACACTGCATGTGCCCAGTTTGACGTACCTCACAACTTTGGTTTAAGAAAACAATGCAATCATGTACATTTGTTAGCTCCAACCCAAAGGTTAAACATTTTTGTAATTGTGATTTTGGATATTATGATAACCGGATTGAGACGGGAGTTCAGCTACAATTACAAGGGAGTATGAACATTAATCCGGCGAGAGAGACTCTTATCATGCAAAATATATATACATAACTATAAACCACACTTTTCAAATTGAAGATTTGTCAAAAACTAGAGAGTATTGGGGTAGCAAATAGAGTTGTTATCCTAGGGAAGAAAATATTACAGTGCCATAAACATTGAGTCATTGACATTTCTAAATCAATGATATTATTCATATACGTTACCAAAGAACCATAAGAATGCATATTTTACGTAAACCCAAATGAAACGAGCTTTGTTTTTTTCTTCACTCTACAAAAGAATGTTTGTGCCATGTCTTCATCAACCTCGAGTTTACTTGATATTCAGGCGATAAGCAAGTTTTTCAGAAACCATATGGAACTCGAAACTCGTTGTTGACAACAACACAACCAAAAACTTACGCGGTTAAGCCTCCAAATGCATAGCTCTAATTTCAACCATCCTTACAAAGCAAAAAAAGACATGAACTCACAACAAGTAGATGGGTGATTATCAACTGAAAAAAACCACCGAACCAATTGCAAAGCACACCCCTTTATAGCTAAGAATTCTTTCTTGTCACAATGTTTTATTAATTTTGGGGAAGAAACATGAATCCAAATCCATCATCAGCAGTAGTAATTCCATGAAATCAAGTTCAATTCCATACCTTTCGGAGCACGACTGGACACAGCAATTCCATCATTCAGCAAAGAAACTCAGTTGCGCAGCGCAGTACAACTTCCGAATCCAATCAAAAAAAGCAAAAGAAACGGAATAAAGAAAAATCAAGCAAGGGTTGTGGGGTTTTGGGTAATCAGTAATCGGTGTTTATTTATTTAGAAGCGGCGGGTGGAGCTGCTGGAGTCGGGTTGTTGTTGTTCTTGTTGTTCGGCGGCGGCGGAGGAGGAGGAGGAGGAGGAGGACGCCGGATCAAAGTCGTCAACGGCAGATTGAGCTCTTTCGAGAAAGGGCCGGAAGCCAAGCTGCAGCGTCAAGTACCCAAACGCCAGCGCTCCGAGCACCACAACTCCCGATCTCATCGCATTCGAATTCACTTTCATCCTGCCCTTCGTTCTCTCTTCCTTCTTTCTTCCAGCCCCCACCAACAACCGCTACCCAAAGCTACGGCCTTTTCCTACCTCCTGGCTCTCCTGCTACAGATGTACAAAAAGCAGGAAACCAAAGAAAGGTAAAACGGCGTCGTGAGTGTGGTACTTAAGTTTGCGCACGTGCATTCTATTTCTCCTTCCACTTGAACAGCCTCCACCAGTCCACTGTACTTTGCCGAACAGCCAAAAGAAGTGCCTTTACATGTTTGGTTGGCGTGCTGTGCTGAGAAGGCATCAGCTTCTGATAAGGTCAGAAGGCGATGACCGTCTGAATTTCGACAATAACGCATGGTATCATTGACGGAGAAAGCGTCGTGTCCAAGTTCTTTCTTGACCGATTGTATTATCTTGTAAGAGCATAAAATTCCTAGGGAAGGAAAGGTTTTTCAATAAGATGGTTTATGAGTTTAGATGCAAAACGGACTTCCCAACTGAGCGAGCCATAAGGAGTCCACTTTCCCAGATTCTTGTGCTACAGAACAAGCAACAAAGCAGAATGAATGGATAATAAACATCAATTGTTCTAAGTGGCCGTGTGTTTGACCACTTTCCTCCTCAACCAACCCACTTTGTCAAGCTTTGGATTTACCGGCAGAACAAAATACATAAAAGCCATATAATTTACAGTACCAGAATCCACACCTTTTACTGAATCATTTCAATTTTCATGTACCAAACCCAAATATTTTGTAACACTAAGGACCGGAAAAGACAAACTATGTAACTACTGTATCCAAGATAAACACTTTAAATTGTAAGCCTTCAATTACAAACAATGATGATATAGTCAAATTGGCCTTCCAATTTTTACTCCATTAACTCTTTTACTCAAGGTCGTCGTGCGGATGCTGTTGTTGCTGTGGCCATGTTGGTTGAGCAATGTACGGATGTGCCTGCTGGCCATAGAGATTCTGATCCATCACAGGCTTTCCCACTATCATCGCCGGAGCACCAACCTGCGAAGCATGCTGAGGAGGCATGTAATAGTAAGGAACACCATCAGATGGACCCCCAACTGGGGGATTCCCACCTCTTGGGATTGATGCAAGTACCTCGTCTTTCAAATCCTCTCTTGGGACGATATCAACCAGAAAGTCAAATATATCAGTCCTCGTAATTGCTGCTGCAATGTCATTCTTTTGCAGTGTTCTTCTTTTGTTCTCCTCTGTGTGATTCCAAGACCGCATTGTCAACTCTAGAATGAACATCTCACAGGCCCTAGCAAATATGACAGGAGCTTCGGCTGATATCATCCTCACATCCTCATCCGCCTTCATAATCTTCTTAATCCTGGCCAATGGCAAACTATGGTTTTTGAAATCATTAGTTTGATCAATTTCTTTATGCTGCTCTCCCCAAAATTTTTGGAGTTGTTGCTGCAGTTGCTGTTGTTGCTGCTGGTGGATGTGCTGATAAGCTAGCTGGTGTTGTGCAAGCTGAGAAGAGGCGGCAGAACCTGCTGGCTGAGTAGGAGATTGCATCATCCCAACTGATCCATACGGGTTCACACCATATGATGCTTGAGCTGCAGTTCCAGCCACTCCCATAGTTGCTGGATGCCCATGTCCTTGCTGATCCATATTGGCGTACGTTGGCAAAAAAGTTCTCTACCCTCCCCTATGGTGCAGGGTACATAATAAACAATCAGTATGAACACTACTGTTACGAAATTTGAGTCAGTTATGAATTTCCAGAATTAAATTTCCAAAACCCTAACAGAAAGTAGATAATGCAGAAACAACTCTGGGAGCTGGCTAACACCCATTTCAAAGGGTTGGTGATCAGCTGTGCCACAAAAAGTGGGAAATGACTTTTGCACGCCCATTTTCCCCTTACTTCCGTCCCTGTATTCTCCTTTGATTTATTCAGCCGAAAGGGCAAAAATAAACAGGGGGATGACTTCCCCAAATTAAACCACATACTAAAAATGTAAAACCCATAAAACATAAGTCCCGTCAGTTAATACCATAAGGTCAAACTAAAGCTTTAACAATCAATACCAAAAATCTCTTCCACCTTAAATCAAACACTAGAAACCTTTAACCAAATTGCTCCCGAAAGGATGTCTAGCATAACCGTACAAATCATTTGAGTACTCTTATGGTTTATACCAATCGATATTGTTCCAATTAGAAACCAGACTTAACATAAGTACCAGTGCACCTTTTATCTCATCCAAATAGACGACCACCATACGAAATTCCATTATTCTAACCGGTGCGTAATCAAGAGTAATGTTTGAAACCGAGTAATCTGCCTTAATACAAAACTCGACAAAGTATTATCTGGAAACAGATAGTATACAGCTCATTAATCAGACAAGTGATCTGATCAATAACTTGCCTCGAAAAATTGGTCAACCATGAACTGCACTTGGCATGGTGTGTTAGCCTTTCACTCAAAAGTCAAGACTAACCACAGGCGATGAAAATCGCATCCAACCGTTCATACCCAAAAGCGTATGTACTCTCCCTCTTTCCCCAACAGAAGAACCAAAAACAATACAAAACAAAAGGTAGAAACCTTCTAACGAGTTGCATAACCTTCTTCCCGAGCGAAAAAGACCTGAGTCAACTCAAAGTCTCAATTCTCCGGTCACTACCTCACCAAGTCAGATTCTACAGCAACACCAACCCCAGAAAACATGCTCTTGGTTCTGACTTCACACAAACACACACCCCCTTGTCTATTGTACTTGCATATAACCCCACAAACAGTCAATTCACCACACTCAAATCAAATCTACGTTTCAGAAACCCTAAAAAAAATTCAAGAAAAAATAATAAGACCAAATTTCACTACTTAAATACAAAATCTCAATTAATAACAACACACAAAAAAAAAAAAAAAATTATATAAGTCATGCATGAAAGTGAAAAACACAAAAATTGGTACCTTTGGCTCACTGCTCTGTTCCCCAATTCTCGGTTTTATCCAACCACCACAACCCTAAAACAAAACCCAAATAAATTAATGAAATTCATACACCAGTTGAACTGAAGCTCACGGCAAAAATAGAGGCCTGCAAACACTACAGAAGGAGAATTATTTAACCGAATATCTTGAAAAATAAACATAAAAACCCAACCTTTTGAAGTGAATTTCTAGGGTTTTTCTGGAAAAATGGATCAAATAAAACAGTACGGGGAGAGTGGAGTGGGGATCGCAGTGGAGAGAGTGGGAAGATAGAAGGTATGTGTCTATGTGTGCGTTTGCCTTCCACTATAAAAAAGCGCCAGGTTTGATTCGTCGTCGCAACTATAACTTTAAAGTTTGACTTTTTATTCCTCTGACGATTTTGCCCTCCAAACTAATTAATTATATTAAAATAAAATAAAAATAAAAATATCTCCCTCCACTAATCGACTGCCTAATTATATTTTTAATTAGTTTAAAAATCGAGATATTTTGCTTAGTAAAATGTTAATGGAGTGCCAAGGGTCAATGGGCCGCTAGACAGGTGTGACCCATAGCTGAAATATCTAAAATATCTACCGTTACCTGCTTCCGAGTGGGCCATGGACACGACATCACCGACATAATGGGACACGACACTAAAAACATCCGTTGACTTTCGCCCTATACTCGCATCCCATGAGTCAATTTGTTGACCTTTATATACCCACTTCCTTTTTCTGAAATTATAATGACTGATTCCACGTCAGAAAAGGAAATTATAGAAATAGGATTGGGCACGGGTCATTTTCACAAGACAATTTATGGTATTATCAACTGAGTAGGTGATTTACGGTGTGAGATGATGAATTGTATTTCTTTTTATTTGAAAGTGAGAAGTCTTATGTTCTAATCTCATTAAAAACGAATTTGAACCACATTATTACTAGCCTATTGTAAGATTAAACTCACTCCTCCCACTTAGTGTAATATTGTTTGTTCAAAAAAAAAAAATATTGTAAGGAATGAGAGACGACTCACGCACATACATGATTGCTTCATGTAAAACTTTTATACTTTTTATGTGCTGTATTTGTTGCGGGCTGCATACCAGTCGGAAGAAAATCCTTTTTAGGATAAAATTCTATATTAAGTCGGAAGACTCTTAAATGATAGATATATATTGCATCAATTTGAGAGTGTGATTTCTTGCGCACTCCAATTCCTGGATTGTATGAACTCCATGAATATAACGAACTGGCTAAAGACTTGTTGGATCAGGTCCCCGTGTCTTGCTGAACAAGAATGGTCAATCTCAATGAAGTCGTTCGGCCCATGATCAGACTTTTGAAGTATTTGTATTCCGATTTGCTTTCCCTGAACAATCATGGTCCCACACTTGAACAACGCCATACTAAGAAGAAACCGGCTAAGAAGACAGTCATTTCGTCTAACCATTAACTACTTCGTTACCCAGCGTCTAGCGGAATAAAAAAAATTCAAGAGATCATGCAGCAGAATGCTGCTGCGCAGTAGAAAGTGATCACTATCCGAAAGGGAGAATGGAGGTCTAACTCTCTCCATTCACCGCTAGTCTCTGAAAGGATCAACTGCCATGATCCAATTTAATCAAGTTACATCTATTCGAACAAACGCCCACCTATTCGGACTAGTACAAGTAACACTAAAAAATGCATCCTAAAAACTAGTCATTTTCCATGCATCTTAAAAGTAAGGGAGTGGGGCTAAAATAAAGTAACATGAATCAGCCACTACTAAGGAACATGGAGTGAGATAATGGGACTTGGAGACTAAGCTTTTTATGCTTATAGGCCTAGAATCCCATAAGAGCGATTGGAGTGTTTTTCTTGTAGGTCCACCGCTCTCATTGGTGACAAGCGAAGATGGTGCCATGAGCTTTCTCATCATGATTACAAGATTTACTTGTTAAGGAATGCCGGTGCCTCTGCTTTTGTTAGTAGCGAATAACAGAGTGTTCACATATTTCCGTCCTTGGGTAACTTGAGGGTTTACTTGGATGATCCTAACTTGGGGTGAACTTTCAATATTTTTAGATGGTTCTCCCTCTTTTTTGTTTGGATACCGTAGTTGAAGGCAAAACTCATCCGAATTGGAGCGTAAAAACACACTCAAAGAGATAAAATGGAACCAAATCAGAAGAAACAGAAAGCAACAAAACCATAACTCAGCAGCACAAAATCCCCTCAAAGTCGAATGCATCTAAAATCAGAAGAAAAGTAGGTAAATATCCACCAACTTGTCAATGATACCGATGTCTGTTGCACGTTAAACAAACAATGTCATGCTTTAAAACCTCCACTATATACTTAAGAATAAAGAAAATCATAATGAAGCTTTAAAGTTGGATGCAGCTTAAATCAGGAAATGCAGATGTTAAAGAAAACTCTATCCAAATCCCAAACGAATGGTATTTGAGTATAGTCGAACATAACAAGCATGATTGAAACCTGCTTCTAGAATCTAGACACAATAACTTTCCATCTGATCAATAACTCATGCGAGGCGGGGGGAGGGGTGGGGGGATGGGTACCAAGATAACAACACAACGAAACTTATTGCAACACCTAAAGCACTTGAGATTAGAAAACGCCCTTGGTTGGATTAGATTAGCAACCAGTCTAAAAATAGAGTGGAAATTAGATCATCATCCAGAGAAGCCAAGATTAATAAGGAGAATGCTTGTTGCTTAGCCTAATGAGTTCCTTAGAAACGCAAAGACCACTTATCTTGGTTTTCTTTCATATTTCCTTTGCAATGATATTTGAATAAACGAGCAGCAAGAGTATTCTTACCTTGAACACCATGGTAAGCTTCTGGGAGAGGCTTTTCTCCTCCGTGCTTCCTCAAGCGACTGTTTGTTGGCCCCTAAATTTAGACTAGGGTGATGTAGACCATTTGGAATGTTTGATGTTGCAGGTGAAAAGTAGACCTCTTCTGTTCCCTGGTTTTCTGGCTGCTGGTCGACTAATGTTTTTGTGAAGAAACATTTCAGATATAAGAATCTAGGAAGAAAGAAAAGAAAACAACGATTAATAGATAAACATAAATCAATCTCATCATATCCCCAACAGACATTCCATTACATTCGGGTCCAACAGTTTCTCGATTAACACTAGGTACAGAAATAGGCACGAGATTCAAATGCTCTAATATCTACACCCTGAGGCGGCCGGGTTATGACGCATGAATTTACCACAAAGCTCATGACTAGCTGGTGCACACGGCACAGCTACATCAACTCCCGATCAATTCCAGATACCGGTACCAATGAGCTGTGAGTCGAGCGTCGGCATCAGCAGCAGCAGAAGGAGCAGTATCCAGTCAACTGTTTGCACTTGATACAATGTGCCTAGGTCAATTACACCTAAATCTGAAGACATTACAATTTATAGGTGACCCCGTAGCACAATTAGACACAACCGTCCCTCCCTGCCTATTAATAGCGTGACAACAGTCAAGATCAGCAAATGGTTAGTTACTAGTCCTTCAGATTAGACAATATGCGGCAACAAGATGTACGATTCTGGAAAATAAATATAACAAGAAAATGATTGATGTTACTACGGGAAAAGAGAAAATAACAGAGATTGTATGGCACCTGACTGGCAACAAGGTTGGAGATATGGTGTTCAAAGATCAAGAAAACGCCATATTCATTGCTTGGGTTCGAAACGTAATTCCAAATTTCTTTTCCATAAATGCAGTGCAACAACAATCGGTCCACACTTCAAAAAATCGTGTTCACTTTTTTAGGCCTATGGAATGAGAAATTTGCTATCAATTTAGGGTCCAATTTTTTCCATTTGCGTTGAACAGAATTTTCGAATATTTTTGGATACGCGTCTCTGGATGTCGAATGTAAGGGGTGATGAAATTTCATTTTTGGTCAAAAACAAGCAACACCTCCGAGGTTTCTCTCATATGCATGCCAAGTCTGGTGGCTGCCAATTCACATCCTCTCAATATGTTCAGATTTCCATTTGTCATGAAATGGAATCGATCTTGAGAGAACATGAATTGGTTCAACAGCATGTCCACCAGACTTGGCGTGCATATCAGAAAACTCAAGGAGGTGCTGGCAGGTTTGGGCCAATAGTGAAATGTCATCGCCCTTAGATCCACATTCCGGCGCCGTATGACTTTGAGGTATCCAAAAACATAAGAGGAATATGTTGGACCCTAAATCGATTGCAGATTAAAAATATATTTGAAAATGTATAGTAAAACCAAGAACTCAAACTAAAAGATTGAATGTCAATTTTAAACCCGTTCTATGCAAAGAACTGATAAAGACAAAGCAAAATAGAAAAATTTCAAACACATAAGAATTAGCTTTACAAGGGGAAAAACCTCAGAGAGAAAAACCCTTGGGCAAGATTGCCAACCATAATCCACAAGGAAAAGATGAAGACTTTACAAGATTCATACAAGACCCAGGTACACAACCTAGTGAGCCTTGTCCTCTCAATCTTAAATGTCTGATGCACACAGCTGAATTTGAACGAAGTGCAGAACAACTTCCTTTGCTCACCAAGACTATAACAATTGTTGACAATTTCACACAGTTTTGCATAGAACTCGGGAAAGGTCTCATCTTCTTCCATCTTGATTCTCTCAAATTGTGAAGTGAACACTTCAAGCTTTGCCTCGTTCTCTGTTACTATTCCTTCATATGTGTCCTGCAAAATGTCCCATGCTTCCTAGGAAGTTTCACAATTACGCATGAAAATAAATTGATCAGGAAAAACAACATTAAACAAAGCATTCAACCCTTTTTGATTATTAGTGGAGTGTGTGACCTTAACAGTAGTCCACTCTTCCCTAGGTGTAGGAACAACAACTTCACTAACATCATCTACTACATCTTTGCTATCAGAAGACTTCTTTTTGTAATTAATTTTAACAATTTTTGTGGGCAAAGTATGCCTATGGACCATTGTACTCCAAACCCTATCATCTAAAGCCCATAAAAAAAGACTTCATCTTTGCTTTCCAATCTCCATAATTCTCCCCATTGAAGTATGAAGGGTGAGAGACAGAACCAACACCCCGGTCCATCCCACGTTCCCTAGGATCCACTCTAAGTGTATCTAGAGACCTGCTCTGGTGCCAATTGAAAATGTAAAGTAAAACCAAGAATTCAAACTAAAAGATTGAATGTCAATTTTAAACCCATTCTATGCAAAGAACTAACAAAGACAAAGCAAAATAGCAAAATACCAAACACACAAGAATTAGCTTTACAAGCGGAAAAACCTCAGAAAGGAAAACCCCTTGGGCAAGATTGCCAACAATATTCCACTA